TTTTTTTTCCTGCTTTCCAATCCTGTCAATAATCCCCAAACCCCTCAGATTCTCCTTGCAGCTCCATTCATGTTGTATAACCTTTACTAAGTGTGTATAACCTGCTTACATACACAATATTTCGCTGCAGGACTACTCTACGATGTGGCGTGTCCTGGTGTAAACAGCGAGCTGCAATGCCGTATGTATCTTACTGTTTATTTATCTTGAACATTATATAAAATCCATTCATTAGCAGCACCCTATTTCCTCTCTCAGGATTCAGCTCCTCTCTTCCATCTCCTCCTGTCACCCATTGTTAATATTTGATTCATGTTTTGTGTATGTTCAGCTGCAGGACATATGATTGGAAGTATTGAAGTCAACTATGGTGTGAAAAGCGATGCTGACTGCGCTGACAGAAAAAAGCCCGCCAAGGTCTCCGATGGGAACTCCTTACACACGTCCATGAAAGGATGGATCCAGAACATGTGAGAGTTATCCTTTTCTGTTGAATTTATTATCGTGGTTCATTTTGTGAGGTGAGTAGAAATGGACTCTAAACTAAAAACTCAGCATGTTTTATAAGACAGAACAGTTGGCATTATTTTGAGGTGGAAACTTCTTAAAACATGATCCCCAAACGCATATTTCACACAAAAAATTAAACATTTTAGAAAAGTCCAAATGTGTGTCGTTGAGACCCTTTGGAGGGGGCTTGAGCTCTTGTTTCAAATGCTTTTAAATACAAAATTAAAATAATTAAAATTGCCTGTGTGCAGACATTGTGTATTAAATCATCTTGACCGTGCAATATTTTTACAATATTTCTCCAGCTGTGATCGTAGGGAATGGTGCCGACTGCCCAAGCCCAATGGGAGGATGTTTGTGGACAATAACTCACAAGATAACTTCATTCAGATCACCTATGACTGTGAAATCAGACCAGCTGGTGAGTATTTTTAAGCAGCGCAGAGGGGTAGCTGACATACAGCATTGTGATCCTGCAGATTTCAGTGAAGATGTCAGGATGATTTTAGGTCTGACCGTATCTCCTGATGTTTTGACAGAGTGGCAATCCATTGTTGTGTGTGAAAACCAAACTGCAGAGATCAAGTGTGGTAAGAGAATGTCAATAATCCGTCTGTCTGCATGGAAAAGACACATCTCTCCATTATGCTTTTGTTATAAATGTATTCATACAGTATGCCATCAATACAATCTGTATCTATGAATCAATACTTCCTGTTGACAATGGCCACTTTTTGGTTAGTTTATGAAAAAAAGATGTGTTGATACAACTTACTGTATATCGTGAGGGGTTTCCATGTCTTCTATATAACAAAATAACTTGTCCGTTTTATGACATTTCGTCTTCTGTGTTACCCTCAGAAAAAGGAGAAGTTAAAATTGTGAATGCCAGATTTGGGCGTTTCGACGAGAACACCTGCACCAAAACCCCCTCGAAAATGACCTTCTGTACAAGTTTCGAAGCTGCAGACCATGTGAAAGACAAGTGTGTATTTGTTCAGCAGACAAACAAGCTTTAGTGGAAGCAAAGGGAATATATTTGTACCACAAAAAATAATTATTGAATAGATTTTTATATGTTATTATTTGTGCTATACAATATTAATACTTGTTTTAAGTAGCGTAGCTGTAGTACTTCTCTGTTGTTACAGGTAGTACATCAAGATGACTGTTTTCTTTTTTCAATGTAGAAGTCATTTTTGATTTGGTTTTATATTAATAACCGATGCTTTTCTTTTGAATTAACCCTCAGGTGTAGCGAGACACCAGCATGTTACGTTACAGCCACCCCTGATAATCTGGGATCTCCTGTTGGGTGCGACAGTCATCCCAAGTACCTCTCTGTGGATTATGAGTGTGAAGACGATGATTGGTAAGTGTGATAATAAACACATGTATTGTGCACAGTTGTGCAAACAGTTGAGGCATTAATAATCCAAAAATGTGATGCCTGAGGATGTTTTCTGGTAACTTTTAGATGATTTGCTTCCCACATCAGCTTCCCAGAGAGAAGTTCATCAATTCATCCATTGGTTTCATCCAAACACATAATAAACAATAATGTGATGGAATGAATTATTAAAAGAGTGAAGCTAACAATTGTGTTTTTGTCTTTTTTGAAAAAGTGACATCTGACCAATACATTTTATGCACAAGTCGATTCGGCTTATTCTTTTAAGATGATATTTTTAAGACATCCTGTGATTCCAAATGAGGGATGTAAAAATGAAATTTTCCAAACTATTATTAATGTTGTTTTCCTCAGACTGCAAAAATGACCCTGGGTACATCCCCGTTTCCCTCACTTGGGTCCTTTCCTTGCGTCTTAGTCCCTCCCACCAGGGATGCATGGAGGAAACCATGCGAGGAGAGAGGAACGAGGAAATATCTTTTAACAGACATGAGACGTCCTTTCCTCAGTTGTGTCACGTGAAGTGACGTCTGTTTCTGATGACGGAGGATCAGCTGATCACAGCTGGATCAGCTGTCATTTGGCTTTAACAGTTGGAGAGACTTTTGAGGAGTTTTCTGTTCACATGATCACTGTACTTAATAATAGTAACTAATAATACCAATAACTAATAAAGACACACAGTAATCACCACTGTAGAGGTGTTTCTCTCTGTAGTCTGTTAACAAACTGTCCTGTGTTCTGTTTATAAGCGCAGGATCCATTTCTACCGGCGGAATGCGATCGTCTTATTTATGAATTATTTGCGTCTGTACGTTTTGAAATTCAGATTATGACGTCATTATTAAATAACCCAGAATATGATTATTGTTTCTCTTAAATAATAAAACTCATCAAACCCGACAATCAGGAATGAACAGCCTCACGTGACTGAATGAAATGATGATAAATGATGTAAAAAGTGTTTCGTCTCTCTCTCTCTCTCTCTCTCTCTCTCTCTCTCTCTCTCTCTCTATATATATATATATAAAAATATATATATATAAGTGTTTCGTCTCTCCAGTTCCCTCTGACTTTAATTGTTTTCATAATAAAAGTTCAGATCATGAAAACACAAATCTTTCTAATAAATGAAGAAAGTTGTTTGAGGTCCTTTTGTTGTTCAGTCTACAATGAACATTTATTTAAACCAGATGTTGAATCAGAAAACGAATCAAATATAAAGCTTGAGTTTAATCTGTGATCCGTCTTCACTGTTTACATGTTGAACAAAATCTCATCAGTCCGATCAGCTGCAGCGTCCAATCACATAACAGATGAACAATGAGGGGGCGTGTCGGCCGTTCAAAGACTTCCTGGAAGTCTGTTCTCGTGTGTCCTCGCTCATGGCTCCTCGATCCTTGCTCCTCGAACTAAATAAGAGCTTTGGGACGGCTGTCAATATGGCGGCGCAGAACAACTTCCGGTTTAAGCGAGGAGCGAGGAAATGTCATTATTATACTCTTATTTGTCATTTGCTCGCTCCTCGATCCTCGCTTGAATTTTGTCTTTTAATGATCTGATATTTCCCTTAGTAACTTTTATTATAGATACAATTAAAGAAACACTTTTTACATCATTTATCATCATTTCATTCAGTCACGTGAGGCTGATCATTCCTGAGTGTTGGGTTTGATGAGTTATATAGTTTAAGTTTAACCTGAAACATGGAGCCTAATAAATTAATTCCAGTATTCAAGAGAAACCATAATCATATTCTGGGTTAATTAATAATGACGTCACAATCTGAATTTCGCATCAGCTGGATGCTAACTGCTGTTCAACAACACAAAGAAGAAGAAATGCTCCATTCGGTAAACAGGACTTGTGTAGTGACAGTCCACCGACCCTTCTGCAGTGTGTTATATGTCACTATAGTTGGCACTGCTAATTTAGGCTTTTCTACCTTTTTACAACAACCAAATGAACCGAACGTCTTAAAGTGGTCCTGTGGACAGAAACTCAAATCCTCCCTGCGGACTTTTGCAGCTCTTTAACGGTCATCTTTGGACTTTTCTTTGCCTTGATTAATGTCCTCCTTGTTAAACCTGTGTAAGATATAAACTCACACAGGTTTAACAATTATTTTCATACAGTCATAAAGTAATGGGATTCACGTTGATGATTATGAATAAACAGTGACAATCCTTTCGTTTCATTTTATATGTATTTACTTACTTCAAACATGTATCAAGTAAAAAAAAAAAAAAAAAACAAGAATATGAAATAAAATGAACAGTAAATAGCAAACTGTCAATGAACAAATTCTCATTCTCAATAACAAGAAGCATCAGTAAAAAAACAAAACAAGCTAGGACTATGATACATTATTCAACTGTTAGAAAGCACAATATAACCGAACTGTTGAATCTGCATTATTGCACAAAGGAAATATTGATATTGAACAATTTCATTGATATTAAACGAGTGAATTTTTTCGATTGAAGCATGTTGATTGTTCAGTGTGACAGCAGCAGGAAGAAAGGAGCTCCGGTTTCTCTTCTTCACACCAGGAGTGAAGCAGCCTCTCACAGAAGAAGCTCTTTATAAAGCCTGCAGAAAACACTAATAGATTTATATGGGTAATGTTTTAGCTGCGCTTTTTATAGTCCTTCTTCGTCGTAGTTTCACCATGGCAGACCTCCGTCAGTGACATCCGCCATCACCTTATAATTACAAAGTTTAGTGAAAGTGGAGTCGGATTCTGTGAACACCACGGTTGTCTTTTCCTAACTCCTCATGAATTCTTTCCTTGACCCCATGACTCTTTCCATAAAGGTCAAGGAAAAGTGGTTAGGAATAGACGTCAGGAGGTCATTTTTGGACTTTTCGACCGCAGTCCTGGTTTAATTAACAATTCAATTACGCACCTTTTACCTGTGCGTCACGTGACCAGAAACTCCTCGGCGCTAGAGCTTGCTACTTTGCGCACGTTTTTTTTTTTAAAGGAGCTATTTATTGTTCGAAGCGATGGACGTGTCGAACCGGTTCGGCAGGTTCGGCCTGGGGCAGAGCAGGTGAGGTGAGGTGGCGGAGTGGGAGGGGGCAGGAGAAGAAGAACAAGAAGGGCGGGGAGCCGCCGCTGCCTGTTAGCTCTCTACAAGCAGGAAGAAGAGGAAAACATGGTGCGGTGACTAAACCAGGACACCGACGGAGAGTAGCGTTCACCTCTTATTTTTTTAAATAGAAATCTACCCAAGGACACGCGGTAAGTCCAGTTTAATGTGTGAATGTCCATGCGTGTTTTACGTTGAGTTTTTGAAACAAAAAAGGCTTAATGGCGTTTAAAATGCACAGAGGGCAGGTGACTGCTTCACCTGGGCGGCTGCTGCTCGACTCACCTTCCCTCTCTGAGGAAGCGTCGCTGGTTTTGGGGTTAAAATGTTCGCTTGAAACAGTGACGTTGGCTTGTAACTTGTGTTTTAGTTAATCATTTTAGTGTCTCTAGTTTAAAAAAACGTGTAAAGTAGCAAACTGTGTTCCAATAGTTTATTTGTCCATCCCTGTTGATTAAGGAATGTAGACTCAGTCAATGCAATTCAACAGCAGTAGGCCACACACCTCCAACGTGATCATTGAGTGGAACCTTTCAACATTATAGCCTTCACGTTGTGTCAGGACGGCTCCCTTATAAGTTATGAGACTGCCTTAGTTTTCGCTAGGTTTACCTGATAAACTGGCAACTGAATATACATACAGGATTGTATTGATAAAAGTAGTGATGTAGCTGAACACCTCATTGGTTTTTAATAAGACTTTTTTTTGACGTTACTGAACAATACAACCAAACTCATTTCCCTATTAATATTAATATGAATATAATATATATTCTTAACAAGGAAACACAATGCCACATTAACAATCACAAATTGTTTTAAACGATTTTTGGTTTTGAATATGCATCAGTTACTTTTGGAAATTCACATTATTCACATGAGCATAAATGAGATCCACCGCATGAGGAAAATCTGTTTTTTTTTTTTTTTTTAAAGCTGGTTCCCGTTTTTACTCCCGTTAGTTCCTTCACCCAAATAATTGGTTAAGAACACCAGGAGCTAATGCCAGGATTTTGAGGTTTTAATGACAGCAAACTTATGACAGGTGTGTCAACTGCATGCCAAATTAATCAGAGCACACATGGCCAAACGGCCTCCTGATTTACCACATGACCGGTTGCTGATGAGCAACATGGCGTTTAAAAGGCTACATTGTTTTTTTTAGCGCGGTGCTCACTCCACATAAAAACACACGGGGCTAACCCTACATCACGTCCAGCAAACTTCAACTGACAGACTGCATTTTAGCATGATATTTGTCCTCTGTCTTTTTGGTATCGGTATTCAAGTGTAGGTGTCTTCAGCCCTAGTATTGACAATGAGGACACCCAGCCCCATAGTTCAAGGGCTGCCGCTCCCGGCTCAGTTGTTTTCCGGTCACAGAGTCAAGTCTTACCATGATGACTAAGGAAATCCTGCATCTGTGTTTTGTACTTTTGCATGGGCTTGAAAGGGTTAATCACCTTGCTTTGAGTTCCATCCCTCAGTAAATGACGGGGAAGCTGTTGGATGGGTGGACGGATGAGTCTCGGAAGGGACGTGGAGGAGAATATTTAAGATGGGGAGAAACCCTCAGAACCTTTTCTTTTTGTTCCGTGAAACGTCACCGATCAGTGTCTATTTCTACTGACATGAATCAACGTTGACCACAGATGCAGTTTTCTGTTCCAACTATAACTTGTTTTGTTTACAGCTGCCTCCCTGTCTAAGGGAGATCTTTCTCAGTAAAGAGAGGGAGAGATATTCTGGGTGGAGTGTAACTTTACTTTGTCGCAACATAAACATGTGACGTACAAACAGAAGCCGGGCAGCTTGTGAAACACACCCGCACGGTGCAATAGCTGGTGTTGTTGCCTCTGAACACAGTGATGGCTCCGGGTGTTTTTTCCTTAAACAAGCAGCAGAGAGCTTCGGTCCTTTTTGCTCATGGAAATGCCTCCTTATGGAAATGGTTTGGACCTTGAGACCAGCGACTGAGAATTTGAATTGCGTCTTGAGAGTCAAATTGGATACGAAGGGTTTAGCTGAGGTATAGACGTCACGGCCTCTTCTCTGTGTGTTTGGATATGTTTGGGGGCTGAAGCTGTTTGACGGCGATGCGTTTGTTGCAACCAGATTATTTTTGTTTTTTGTTGTCTTTTTTACATGTTAAAAGATCTTGGTTTCACCAGTCTGTTGTTTAATTTGTTTTTAAATTAAAGTTCAGAGTCCTATGTGACTAAATAAGCAACATGACACAAATGCATATATCTGTGTACAAACATATCTAAATGCGTCCCCGTAACTATATGCGATTGCACATGGCCACATGCATGAGACCCTACCCACATGTAGCAAATTAGGAGTCAAATACAATTTGACTACAAAAGTAATGTTGGTGTAAGTGTTATTTGTTGTTAGAGGAGCGCTGCACAAATTCACTCTGTCATTTATCATGAAGTCTGTCGATGACCGTGGCTTTAGACTGACATCACCCAGAGAGGAGTTGAACCCCCAACTCCGGCAGTGTTTGTGCCTTGCTCAGGGGCTGTTCATGGATTCGTTGTCGGGACTCGCAGCTGTGATTGAAATTCAGAATAAGATCAATGGAGACTCAACTCATTGGCCTTCATTAAGCTTCATTAACAGCTGACACACACAGACACAGAACACTGGACTGAATGTGAACATGCTTTCAGTTCTGAAGCCACTAGTGGATTCATTGATAATGGTAACAACATGCATTTATTTCATTCCTCGAGCAGACATCCAGCTTCTCCAGTGTGAGGATTTACAACTATTTCTGCTCCCCTCATGATAAACGGCATTATAAATTGACATCTCTGACATTTTAGAGACTAAACATTTATTTCATTATTAATAAAAATAGCCAATAGATTAATTGATAATGACAATAATTGTCAGATACAACCCTAAAAAAGGCTCTAAAACACATTTAGGGGGAGGGGGGGCAGGACAGAACAGGACTAAATGCTCTTGCAGCGACGTATTTGTGTCATGTTGTTTTATCACCAGACGATCAGAGGACTACTATTTACTATGGTCTATTTAGTCGAGTTTCATGTTTGGGATGAAAGCTTCACATCATGTCTGACTGTGCAAACGCAGTGGTGTCATTGAAATGTACCAGGAAGCTGCCGCTTGCTTTTTTTTTTTTTTTTGTAAGTGAGCACATCCTCTCACTGATGCGTTTACAGTTAAAAATATATAGAGTGGATAAAGCAGGAGAGTATCAAATTGTGTGCTGCTCTATGTGCTGAGTCACTGCATCAAGTGGTATTCCTGCAGAGAACAGGCAGTCTTTATTCCTTTTGTTTCCCATCTGTTTAGTTCTTAACACACACTCCCAGGTGCCCCAGAAACCCGACTCCGCATTAACCTGACACGCTCAGTCACACACACACAATTACTTTCCCCATCACAGCGGGAGCTCATCCCGATGCATAACGAATAAGTGAAATATCTTTCACTCTTACCAGCTGCAAAGGAGGTTTTGCTTACGGTTTGTTTTTTGGCAGGAGATATCAAAAAAACATCATTGATTTCAATGAAATTTTGTTCAAAACTCCACAGCCACCGACTGATTAGTTTTGGTGGTTCAGGTTTGGTGTCCTGGATCAACAGGTTCAACATGAATCTGTCCATGCAGGCTAAAAATAAATTAGAAATTATACTGTATCAACTTTATCTGCCAATATCAATTGATAGAAGACAAATATGCCCTGATTGGTTTAAAAAACCCTTTGTCTATTTTCCGACAAGAATTGTTTTAATTCGGGGGGGAAGGAAATTCCCGAGGATTCTTTTTTCTTTCTCTCTCCAAAATGTTCTACCGTGTCGTGGAGAAAGTGCCTCTGGCACACTGTGATTTCTGGTGATGCATCTGCTTGTGTGTCTGGTCACCTTTTGTGTTCACGAACTGAAGACGATATTATGTACTGAAACAAAGACACAAACCTTATATCACGCAAGTACCAGGTAAATATTAAAGGAATGCAACAACCTCTTTGTATGGTAGTTGTTTGTTACTGGTGGAGTCCGCCATTCCTTTGTAGGCTTCGCACTACATACCCAAGACACTGACTGATTGTTCCCTTAAATAACAACCTGTTTTTTAAAATTCACTTGCTTTCAATGAATTTTGCGTTTGAACAGAAAAATGTAGCTTGAGAAAAGATGAATTCCATGTCATGGAATTTGAAAAATAGCAATTTCTAGGCCTGGAGAAGCTGTTGGAAAATATGAATGAACCCTTTGGGAATGACTTTGGAAAAGTCCTGGCTATTTGATTCACAAATACCTGTGTAATAAATGCGTTTGAGTTCAGATTGACTGAGAAAAATTGATATTAGTTAAACCATAGTTTTATGTTCGGACAGATCGGTGACGTCGCTGAACGTTTCGCGGGATAATGTCAGACCCAGACTGTGTTATTCAGATGTTTCATGTATAGACAGACATTTCAGAGAAAGTGTGGTCATGAAATTTTGCTTCAAAGGCATGGAAAGGGGCAGTGAAAATGAATTGGTTAAAACGGATATGAACCCTATGTATATATGTGTGTACATGTGTATATATGTATGTGCAAGTTTTATTAGCCAGTAGGTTTGCTCTGGGAAGATAAAATGCAAAAACTGTGACCATAAATGTAAAATAATATTTGAAGAGTTGATCTTTTTCTTTAAAGGACTGTCAGAGCGTTGGAGCTGGACACTGAGTCCATAAGAGAGGACAATAGAAAACTAAACCGTGTCTTCAGGGTGTGGGTCACCAGTGTAGAAACAAAGTCCCTTTTCCTTTATTTTTTTGCTTCAAGCGTCCTCCTCACCTCTGAGCGAGAGCTGCACCTCCTCCCTTGTGTCAGGTTTCAGGTCGTCGCTCAGGTATGCTCTCCTGTCCCACTCCCCGTGAATCTCTCCCTCTCTGCTCTTTGTTGTTGCCATAGCGATGTTTGGCACGAAACCAATTAACCGAAAACCTGTTTTCCGAGTCGAGCGATCCTCGCAGCCCTGCTGCTGCTGCTGCTGAACCCCCGGCTCTCTTTGTTTAGATGAGGCTGTTTTCAGGCTGTGTAGCTGTCACAGAAATGTCTTCATTCACTTCAGAACTTGACCTCAAAAGTAATCATTTACTTCTTAAACAGTTAATTATCCTGAAAAGTCCCCTATTGAGACTGTAGTGGCTCTCAGACTTATTCTGTCACACCCCTGAGCCCCCCCCCCCCGGGCTGTTGGTGGCGCTTCTGGTCCTGAGCGCAACAGTTCTGTACGTGACTCACAGCTAGAGCACTCAAGTTTGTCAAAAGAATAACCGAGAGAGAGAGAATCCGGCCCTTTGAAAAGTCAGAAGCCAGGAAGAGGTTGGGGTAGAAGGTAACTACGACTCCCAAGGTGGTTTTGGGGTAAGACACACCCAATCATCAAGCTAAAAATTCTAATTTATTAGAGCTGCAACGATTCGTCAGACGATCAACAGAAAAATAATCGCCAAATATTTTTGATTAGTTGTTAAATTTTCATACAAAGACATTCTGTCTTCTCGCACACTAAACTGAATATCTTTGGCTTTTGGACACACACGCAATGAGACATTTAAAGACGTCACCTTGGAGAAACTGGGATGGACATTTTATCGACCAAACGATTAATCTAGAAAAATAGTTGATTGATTATGACAATAATTGTTTGTTGCAGCCCAAGAATTTAGCAGCTCTGGCGCCATGTTTAGTTTAATAAATGTGCTGCTGCTGTGATTCACGCCTCAGACTCGCTTCTTCTTCATGAGCGAATGAATTAGAGTATTGTCACCTGTCTGCCGTGCGAAACTGACAGAAAACCCACGATTCCTTAGAAATGCAGTAGAAGAAATTCACTTGAATCATCCAGGAGAGTCCTGCGTTGAAGATATCACTTCAAGAAAAACACTTCCGATCCCAGCGGCTCCTCGCACTTCAAACCATATCAGAAAAACGACCCCCCCCCCCCCCCCCCGGTCTTTGCTGGTTTGTCCTTTTGAGTTATTTGCATGTATTAAGGGAGATGCTACATGAGCAGAAACCAAAGGGGATCTGAAGGGGGGGGGGGGGCATTAAGCAGTTTAGGGGGGTATGGGGGGTGATGCAGGATCCAAACTCCACACAGCCACTCTAAGACTACTTTAGAAGTAGTCTTCTCTCTAGAAAACCGTGCTGCCTGACATGTTGCGCCAATCAGATTTATGACTTGACTGTATCCTTACACCTCAGTGATTTAACACAGCTGATAGTATAATATCTGGAGAGGACACAGGGCCTCATTTAGACCATGTATTGTGACATGCCTTCAAACCATGTCAGTGCAAGTATGAAGTAGGGTTTCTTTTCTTTCACAATCAAGGAAACCTTTATTTTTAGCAGCGTGCGTCCCTCCAGCGATGACGCGTTTCTAAAAGACTGATGTGTTTCTAAAAGACTGACGCGGGCTTAAGTGGAGGTTGTGTATTCCTTTGGTGTGGCATGTCGTTTGACTGGATGTCTCAGTCAAAGATGTCAGTCTATCCTCGGATGAAGACGTCTGATGTCGAGGTTTCCTTTAGTCCAAACTGCTGAAAAGTGTCTAAGACTGGTTTCAAGACGACCAGTGCTCATCTTGGAGGTCTTCTCTGGGAGGGCAATGATTCCTCTTTTATTTGCTTCATTGTTCAATAGAGAATCTGCCCTGTAAATCCAACTCAACTGCTGTCGCCAAAACTAAAGGGTAAAGTACTGAAGACATTGTAATTCGTATTTGAAATACCTGCTGAGAGATTAGCTGTCATCTCACTCCCTCCTCCTCATTCTTTCACTCCTCTGCCTAGATTATTTTAAATTCTGTTTTCCTCCACCTTCTCACTTAGTTTTGTGCAGACTTGTGTGACCCGCCAGAGCTTCATTCAGTCACAGAATACGCAAAAAAAACACACTATACTACTGCTCTGCCTTGTAGTATACAAAGTATCTAAAACATTAAATTGCATGTATTTGTTAGTGATAAAAGCAGCTCTGTGCTAGCATGGTAGCAGCTCTGTGAGGGTGTACTTGGGCATAGCGGTGCTTTGAGCTAAAAGTTCACGTTAGTAGACTGTAAACTTCTGCCCCTCATGCTCTTGTATCCAGGCAATAAACTTTCAAAATGAAATGCAAATTCCTACCAACTAAGTAAACTAAAAACTACGCAGTGATGGAACAGAAAATGGACATATCTAGAAGTGGGAAAAAGACATTTGGTCTGGACTATAAGCGGCCCCCTTCTCTCTCGTCAACACTTCCATTTCACAAGTTTGAGTCCTGCCGTAGTCCCTGCGTGACCCTGTGGAGTGCTTTTTAGGTGCGTTTGTTCTTGGAAACCGGACTAATGAGCCTTATCAGCTGTGCTAATGGCTCCTCTGCATCATTAAACATTAAGCTGATGGGAAGCGCCAACCCAAACTCTGCACCTGCTAACCAGGAGCCGTCAGGCGGATGATTTCCAGTGATGCAGCGGATTTGCTCTTTAAAGGCTCAGTAATACACTGAAATAGCTGGGTATTGTAGTTTTTATCAAATGTTATTCAGACAGGAGGAAATGATGCTTTTGTTGGGGACTATTTTCAGCAGCAGATTAATACAGTCGCTGATCTAGTGAGTATTTCCGGCGGCGGGACGGTGTGGTCCAGACCACAGAAGTGTTGACTCTAAACGCCGTTTGATTCGGGCTGATACGTTGGTCTCTATTGAGGGAAAAATCGAATGATCAAGAAGGTGCGGTCACATTCCTCAGAGTCGCAGATGTGTGCATGTTCATTGTGACACTTGAACACACAAACACCGCAAAGTCATCACACAACGCGTGACATGACATCAGGAGGTAAACCCGAACTGCAGCTCTTTATTGCTTTGTTTAATGAGCATCGATGGCTGTACACAATAGATGAGTAAAACTGATCCAGCTGATGGATCATAAAGTCATAACGTTAAGATGTGCAGATTACCTCTGACTTCATCTCTAACAGCTGATTCATTTATCATCCTTGTTTCCTGGTTCACTGGATCTGCATTCCTGTTCCGTCTGTGCTCTTCCTTGGCGGTCTGATCTTTCCGGATACATTTTCACAGTCGTTTGTCGTTTTTGAACATGTTTGGTTTGTCAATGTAGGGAGAGTCACTGTTGCTGTAAACGTCAGCTGACTCAGCGTTTCTTTGCTTCTCTCCACCTCATTTTGAGTGTCTGAGGCCTGACGATTCTTCAGTATGTTTGTACAGTATTCAATAATTCCAACCGTACATGCTTTTGTTTCTGAAGGGGCGTGTCCAGTCCATCGTCAGATCGTTGGTTTCGGAAAGTATAAAAACCTGTTACCCATTTGTGTTCTGATTGCTTTAAAAATGTGAATTACGTCATGTTACATTTATTCGTGAACTGCAACTTTTCTTCTTTCTCAGATACCTGAGGTGCCAAGATGAATCGGCATCGTGTGGACTCCCTCGGGCCTGACGATGAGGTCATGCCGTACAGCGACGACGAGACAGATGACGAACTGGAGGCAAGCTCTGAAGAGGAACCAGAAGAAGAGCTGCCAGGAGCCCCGCTGCCCCCTGTGGAAGCTAAACCCAGCGGTGAGAGGCTTAAGACACACTTATCACTTTCTTTTAATTTAATCTTTGAGTGAACTTCACACTCATAAGAAGATGGACCAGTTTCATTTAGTGTGTCGTACAAAAACATTAATTCTGTAGTTTACATATTACATTTTAGTGAAGGAGACCATATTCCATATTGTTTTCTGTTTCAGAGATGGGGTGGAAGGTGAAAGCCAACGACCGACCTTATCACCAGCTGCCAGAGTTTCAGAAAAAAGTCTTCCTATGCATCAAGAAGAGCAAATACTCTGTAAGTTCTGTCATGCCTGACATAAAACCGCTGTTTATGGGACTTTAATGGTCCGAAGGCGCCTTTATCCTCATCCTTGTTGGCCCTGGTGGAAACTAATCCTGAGCATATAAAGCATGGCTGACACACCCTGGACAAAGATATTTTGTGTGTGGCATGTTTTAAATGGGCCATTTATCATGCCGTCTATATTTCAAATCGGTCATCAGTGATTAGATAGATTTTCTTCCTTCAAGGCTGTCATTGGTTTCAGTTCATTTTAGTGGTGCAACAGATCATAAAACACTTGGTTTGGATCGTATGACGGATTGGTTCACAGGGAGCAAATATAACTTTTAGAGATCTCAGATGATCTTTTTTTGCCACTGATACTAATTGCTGATCATTGATGATCCATAATGGGAGATGCAGATCCCTTTTGTGGTTCATTATAGCAGCTCCAGACTATTTTATTTTTTTGCCACTGTCCCAAAAATCATTTCAACCGCTCTGAAGTCAGTAAACCATCAGACATTCTAATGTTATCCTTTTACTTTGTTATAGTGATTTCTTTCCTTCATAAAAACAAGTAAAAGATTGTATATTAGTAGTTTTAATGATGTATTATAAGCTGCTTATAGCTAGTGTTAACAGGTCATAATTCATCTCTAATATCTCTTTATGTTGTTGTGAAAACATCTCCTTCAAACAACTAGATTCTCACCAACACTACATTTTACAAGATTACATGTGAACACATCATAACGTTATCATTTACCTTTGCCCAATACGCATCGTAATGTAACTTACCTAATGTAACTCCTGTCAATTTAAAACTACTGCACAGATCGACAATAGTCCGTTACACCACTAGTTCATTTATATCACAATCAACCTGCAGAGAATTACACTTGCAGTAGAGAGTTGATTGATGAGTCAATATTTCCTGGTAGTTTTTTGTCTACGTTACTTTGTCATTGTGGGTTATGCAACGGTGTTTAAGGCTGGAAAAGAGCAATGCATCTACAAGTCATACTGATAGAGATGCAAACCTGCAAGAGTCAGTAAGTAAATACTACGCTTCTGTGAGACTGTGTGATCCACAGCTATTGCATGTCAGAATCAACCTGAAGGATGATTTTGAAAATGTTTAAAAAGCAAAAGACTCAAAACTGAGACCCAAACTCGTCCCGTACCCACGTCTTTTATGACCAGATCCAACTGGTGCTACAAAATGTTGAGCCCCAAAAGAGACAATTATTGGACAGCGATACATGCCAACATGTCGCGTTACAGCAGCACATACGGATACATCCTAAAATCCGGAAAGAGAAAAGCAAATGCGAGTTACGCAGATATATCCATCTTCAGTTTGCTGCTATTATCAAACATTAGCCACCATCAGCTAAAGGTCACACTAGACCAAGTAAAGCTGAAGTTATACTTTGCGAGTCTGCTAGAGTCTGTGTTTACATCAGAGGGTGTACGTCTGGGTTCAGTGCGTGGACAAGTCTGATATAAGCGTTGGTGTAGCGATCGACTGCGTGTGTGGAATGCTTCCTCCAAGCCGACAGGGTAAAGAGAACTACTTTGCGTCCTTGGTAACCACAGCGGCCTGTGTACGTGTCCTTTTAGGAGTATAAAAGACTGCACCAGCAAAACCCCTTATTGTATTGGATCAGTGGGTGTTTTATTGCTCATCAATGTAACTTTTCATTTGTAAGAGGAAGACTGCTATTTCCTCATTCAAAAGTAACATGGTTAAACTTTAAATCATATGAATGTTACAGCTGGCAGGTTATCAATTTGCTACTTTTGTAATTTCTGGTCTCTTAGCAAGACAAAGTGACCTCTTTTTAACTATTAAACCCTTTTTAAATGAAATGTATGCACCATAAGTAGATAAGATCAGTATTACTGAGCAAACAAAAGCATGTGTAAGATGGGCATCAATGCGCATTAACCGACTTCATACTACACATGTCTATGAGGGATTTTAGCCAGGTCTGCTGCAATATTTGACATAATTACCAAAGAACAGTGAGTGTAAAACAAGAATCGCAGGTTGAATTTGATGAACAACAAGGAAGTCGGCTGTGTTAATTTGATATTATGTGTGCTTCCTCCTGATGTCACCTCTCTGTTTTGCTGAGTCATTTGAGTGTTTTTGTGTTGCCGGTCTTCGTGGAGGCTGAAAGCTGATCATCCAGCTGAGCCGACCTGTATCTCACTAATAGACACAGCGAGACTCTGTGGGACTGAAGCCACAACATGTTTCCAAGAACAGTAACCCTTTGTGCATTCTAGAGTCCGAGATCTACCAGAAAGCTGGTGGAGTTGTCAGAGTTCCGATGGTTGTCTGTAATGAAATGCAGCTCTTGTCTTGTTACAGACGTCCCTACTAACTGAGCCACTGCCTGCACAGTCAACCCAGACACTTGCTAGTGCTTCTGTTGTAGAGGAGACATTTCAGCAAAGCAATACTCTAACCATGTCACCTGTCCACATACTTTTGGTCTGGGACCGTTTTTCCCTGGTTTAGGCTAGTTCCATTGTTATTTATAAAGCATCCGATGATATTTTTAGACCGTAGTGTTCTTCCAACTTTGTCGCAACACTTTGTGTTTGAAAATAAAACGGGTTTCACAGCACTGCCTCAGTACTACCGACACCATGAGAACTGACGATTCAGGACAAATGGTTCAAGGTGCAATTGGTTTTCCCAATCAAATGCATACTGCAGGCAAGAGTACATACTTTGTAAAGGCAGCTGCAGTATGTACTGATGTGAAACCAGGCAGCAACCTCCAATAAGGAAGTGCCTTAAACTTGCATTCTCTCTAATGGCCAGCAGGGGGCATCTCTTCTTGTTGCATAAAGAAGTCTGATTGTATAGAAGTCTATGAGAAAATTACTCTACTTCTCTCTTGATTTATTACCTCAGTAAACATGAGTTTATGGTCTCAATCTCTAGTTTCAAGTCTTCTTCAATACAGCATGATGTTCATTTAGTAAATTATGGTCCAAATATGGTCACTCGCGCTCCCTGGATGCAAAAAAAACACTGGTGGTGGCCAAAATCCAAGATGGCGACTGCCAAACTCAAGGCTTCAAAACCGCAATCCGCAAATCAATGGGTGACGTCACCACTTCTTATAGACAGTATAGAGTTAAACTTAAAAAAAAATAATAAAAAATGCTCGAAATCCATGCAACAGAGTTTATTAGCGTGGGTCAAGGGTCAAAACTGCCTACTAAGCACTTTGAAACACTTTTTTTCTGTTATGAATTTAAAGAGATCAGTAAACTGGATGACATCACTATGACATCATCAGGGTTATTTTCTCAGAGTATCTCACTGATCATGCAACTGTTCTCACAGGTTGAGTAGTATTCCTGATGACCAACAAACTGCTCTTGTGTAAAAGTGGCATAGTGCCCCTTTTTAAGATGTATGTTTTCTGCAGTTTATCAGCACAGGATAAAGAATAGTAATTCACTCTTCTTCTTTTTTTTTTTTTTTTTTTTTTTCTTTCTTCTCTGCAGGAAAACTCCATCAAGACGTACAAGTACAACGTCCTCACCTTCCTCCCTCTGAATCTGTACGAGCAGTTTAAGAGAGTCGCCAACCTCTATTTCCTGGCTCTGCTCATCTTACAGGTACATCTGAAAAGAGAGTAACTTCCTGTCTTCTGATGTATAGTGCTGCAATTTAAAAAAAAAAACAAAAAAACAAAAAAAAAAAAAAAAAACAGTAAGTACCATCAACTGTTTTTTTTGTTTGTTTTTTTGTTAGATTATTCCGGACATTACTACTCTGCCCTGGTACACCACACTGATTCCTCTGGTGGTGGTGCTGGGAGTCACTGCCATCAAAGACCTGGTGGACGATCTGGTAATACTTCTCTTTTGGAAAGACGCACACACACACTGCTAAATCCATGTCAGGTTTTATCATTGTATTTTGATTATTTTTAATCAAACATCTTCAAGCGCAGGCTGTAGCTGCACGCGTTTCCAGAAATCATCCATAGAACTTTGAGAGGATGCTGGCATTGCCTTTTTGAAGCCAATACTGTAATACAAAATTAAACGTTTAATATTAAATAAATATGATTTCATATTTACACAAGTTTGTTAATTTTTGATGCAAAGGAGTGCAAAAAAATCAATTTCAGACAAAGATCTAGAAATCAATTGATTGCTGTTCAAGCTCCAGTACATTGCCACGTGATTGCATAAGTAGGAAGTTATCCGTTTTGTCCTGACATCTTTTTAATTAAAATTCTTCCAGGCGCGGCACAGGATGGACAATGAGATCAACAACAGGAAGTGTGATGTGCTGCTGGACGGCGGGTCAGAACAACAAACATTTTCTATTCACTTGGAGGATATCTTGTTTTATAACTCAATCTCGAAATACTGACGCCCTTTTTGAGAAATGCCAGTAGCTCAAGTTCTCGGTTGACCAAGTGTTTTCGTTAAAAGAAGTATTTTGAGCATTTATTTGGCATTTTGAAATAAATCTACTTTGACATCTGACGCATATCAAATCGTGTTTTGTGTTGTATTTGAGGTTTGTTCTTGTACAATGTGGGCCAGTAAGTGGAAGCTCCCCAAACTTTCTTATCCTCCATTTAAAAAAAGAGAACAACATACAAATGCAAAATAAAAACTCTGATCGGTCTCTGCTTCAGGTTCCAAGAGTTGAAGTGGAGAAACCTCCAGGTTGGAGACGTGGTTCGTCTGAAGAAGGACGACTTCATTCCAGTATGATGATTTATGATCATTTTCTTTCTGAAATGTGTGACTTCCTGCAATTTCCAGCTGACCCACAGTGGCACCTCGAAACCATCAGAAATGGCACTTTGTTAATCGTTGCCAACTTTGAGAAAATTATTATTTTTTATCTAATTTTCATAGACATGTAGTTATTTTTAAAACCTTTTATGTTCAATCTATCAACAGTTATACTACCTGGTTACATCGGTCACAATAGTTGGGTAGCGATAACGTGGCTAACTGATGTAGATCTGTTCAGGTTCACGGTCAGTCAGTAAGCACATATTAAAGCGAGGGTAGGTAATGTTTTTAAATATATTATATTCCATTTCTGCTTAATAGATCCCTCTAAATCCTACACACTGGCCTTTTTGAAGCAGGGCAGAAATGCAGCAGAAAGCAGATGTGTGGTCAGATTTGAGTGTTAAACACTTCCGAATGGTTGATGAATTGCTTTTTTATTTTTTTTTTAAACGTGTATATCTTTGGTATCCTCTTCAGGCTGACATCCTGCTGTTATCCAGCTCCAACCCAAACAGCCTCACCTATGTAGAAACAGCTGAGCTCGACGGGTAAGACTCTCTGGCCTTTTTTTGTTTTACCAGAATCACATAATTGTTACCGTAATTTAGTGTTACGGACACTTAGTTTTGAACTGTAATATTGACTGCCCTATTCAAATGTAATAATGGAATACATTCTGTTTAGAGATACTGCTGCTCAGCGTTCTTTGTTCTGACAAGTTTTTGTTTGAGCCGTAGTTTCTTCAAGAGTTCAGTCAACACATTACTCCCCGATAAGAGGAGAGCAAATGTGTAAAGCGCTTCTGCCAAGAGCTAAACAAACTCTGCCAAGCTCGGCCTTGTGACCAGTGTGACCGTATGTTCTGCGATTAAGTGAGAAACGCCTTTGAAATCAAACAGAGGCCTACATGTGGCTCGAATTGAACTATTAACTAGCTATGTGGCACACAGCTTGCATCAGAGAATTACATTTATTTTCATAAATAAGCTTTATTTATCTTGACTGATCACGTTACTTCCTAACAGCATGAAGTGAAATTAAACATTTTTAAAAAATCCTTTTCATCTTAATCCAACTTTGATGATCTTGTATCTGTTTACCTGTGATTTCCTCAGGGCTTGGTTTACAGTCCTTTTTGCATATGTGTTTTTTTCCCCTTCAGGGAGACCAACCTGAAGTTTAGGCTGGGACTCAGAGTGACCGATGAGAGGCTGCAGGAGGTGCGTCAGCTGGCTGAGTTTAATGGTAGGCACGCTTCACTACTACAAACCAAGTTTATTTGCATAAACCTGATTCGCTTTTAGTCACTCAGACTTTTAAAGTGAAGTATAAATCATTAAAAAAATATGAAATTGTTTATCCTTTCGTCTCTCCCGAAGCTCTGATCGAGTGCGAGGAGCCAAACAACCGCCTGGACAAGTTCGTGGGGACGATGCTGTGGGAACGGGAGCGCTACCCTCTGGACCTGGACAACATGCTGCTCCGAGGCTGCACGATCCGAAACACAGAGGCGTGTCACGGCCTGGTCATCTTCGCAGGTGAGAACCCCTCGACACGAGATGACATCACTGCAGAAATCCGAAATTTGTGAAAAGAGCATTTTAGCGCTGTCAAGTGTACACTGAAGATGTGGATAAGCGACATCATCTTCATCATCAACATCATTTGGGTTGTTGGCACCACAAAAGAAGACATTTGAAGACGTCTTTTGCATTTCTCTTTATTTTGACATTTTACAGTCCGAACAATTTATAGATTGAGAAAATTCAAATAATTGTCACTTGCAGCACAAATCACCATTAATTCCTTATTAGCAAATTAAATTGAACCTTGATAGTAAATAATTCAGAATATTATTGATGATCAAAAACTATGACTGATTGCAATGGCTATCGTTGGCACCTTTTGATATGTGATGTCATAGGAGCTGACACCAAAATCATGAGGAACAGCGGGAAGACGAGGTTCAAGAGGACCAAAATTGACGAGCTGATGAACTACATGGTTTACACGGTAAGACAAAGGAGGCGAAATTCATCATCATTAATCGTCTGTCTTCCTTGTCAGCTACAACAGCGTATCTGAGTTTTAAATTTGCGAGACAAAAACTGAGCGGGTTCTTGTCAAGGAACTATATTACTTTGCAAGGTTCGATCAACCTCATCACACCACAGATGCCACCTTCTAAAGACTGCGGGACGTGAGCCGCCAAGTGCAAAAATGTTAATTATTAGTATTTATTTATGTTCATAAACGAACACAGAAAGAACATGAAATAAAACGTATGTATGAATCTATAAGGACCTTCACTTCGGACATCGTAAACAGCAATCTTCAGGATTTATCAGATAACCCATTGGCAAAATAATACGCACAACAGGCCCAACATGAAGATAAAGTACAATGCATACCGATGTCGGCGTTCATAAAATGACCCAAAAAGGACAACAGAAAACGCATTTATGTATCTTTCAGGAACTTCGCCTCGCTCAGAGGTCATCCTTAACAATACAATACAACTTTGGACGCAACAAAATTCAGACGATGGCTGGCTTTACTACAGTTTCGTGCTCGGCGGCTCACGTTACAGCAGTGTTTAAAGGTTGCATCTGTTGTGTGATGAGGTTGATCCAACTTTTTTTCAGATACATTTATGACTTTATAATCTTGGACAATATTACATTTTTTTTTTTTCTCGTAAATTTACGACTTTGATCTCATAAATTCATAATATTCCGACATTTTTTTACCTACAATGGCCCTAAAATACCGTCGTCTTCGGCTGCATGTTCTTTGTGTGGTTTATCAATATCACTGGGGCTTTTTGATAGTCATTGTGTAACCGCATTTCTGTTCCCTCCCTTTAGATCTTCGTGCTGCTGATCCTGGTGGCGGCAGGTCTGGCCATCGGGCACTCCTTCTGGTACGAGGAGATCGGCTTAAAGGCCTGGTATCTGTACGACGGCAAAGACCAGAGCGCCGCCTACAGAGGCTTCCTCAGCTTCTGGGGATACATCATTGTCCTTAACACCATGGTGCCCATTTCGCTATACGTCAGGTGAGTAAAACCTTAACCACGTATTTAGGTGGATGAGTAGTGTCAAGGATACTGGATTTGAGTGTGGATGTTACGTTCCCCTTCCTGTATTTTGAACGTTTGTGTCAAAGGGAGGTCTTTCTGGCTGCAACAATTAAACACCTCTGTTACTAAAAGCTGATTTCAGAGAAGCCCTCCTACTACTGGCCTTGTCATAGACAGTGTAAAGTATCTACGCTCCATGGAAAAGATGACTTATACCACAGAATTACTGTATTCTGGCTGCAAAAAGACATGAGTGAAATGAGATTGTTACGACTCTCAGGAAACCTTTGCTTTGTCCCTCCCCTCAATGCAGACTGGCCAAACATAGCGTAGAATCGTCCGGCACCGACCAGCATCCGATAGACTATCCTGCCCTGCTTCATAGACTCTCATGCAATCGAGAGTTTCTTTCATTTTCAGGCTGGTTTGGTGGATTTGGTGCTGGTCAAACATTGTGTAATAGTAATACTTGCTACCCGCAGAGGTTGGAAGGAGTTTCTACGTAAAAAAACCAACCTGTGGAGCTAACACTAGCAGCGTACGGTAGCACCTCATTAACTAGCGCTAGCACTTCTATGCTACATGAGCAACTGAATGTATACACATGCTGCTTTTGCTTTTTAATGATTGTAACAGTGAATTAAGTCCTGCACAGCTTTGCAGGAACAGCGTTGTTCCTTAATTTCATTGTCTTCTGTCTCGATCGCCAGGTGATGTGGTGGGTCACTTTAACATTGTGTTCTGTAGCTTTAGCTTCTATCTTTATCTTTTTAACTTGTTTTGGCTGCTCAGTCAGTTTGAGATCCTGGATTTATCCTTCAAACACATATTGTAGACCCTTCTGTCTGCTAACCTCCGAAGTCGCTTTTCCAATCGTCCAAAAATGAGATAATATAACTCCAGGGAGTGCAGTTGGTGACAGCGTGGGCTCTAAGGTAACGTAGCTCTGACATCTTGTCAGAGTAACAGCGGGAGGCGGGGCTTAGTTTGAGACTCACTTATCTTTTTTTCAGGCTTTGAGAGAGTAGCTCAATATGTTCACAAATATTGATTGAACTTCTCTAGGCCATGGACGTAACATATGGAAATTCTTAATATAGTTGGTTTTACCCTTTTTTTTTTAAATGTGAAAAAAGTGGGTTTGACCCACATTCAAAATACATTAGACCCAAATATCTACTGTTCTCCATTGAGGGTCAGATGTCAACAACATGGCTCAGAGAATTTAACTTTGCTTTCCTCGGGAAAACATCTGTAAGGTGCAGCTATACATCTTCAATTAAAACACTTTCCAGTTACAAATGCTCTTTCTAACTTTAACTAACAAACACAGAACAGCATTAGTTGGTTCCTGGTTAGGTTTGATGTCACCGTCGCATTTCATTTTGTCAGTAAGCCAACACAACCAACTGCACTGCATGGCTGCTGCAACTGTCGTCAGACTTGCTAACTAGTTATCCAAGATAACCATGTTGGCAGCAGGGAGGCTTCATAGCATTGCTTTCCTCTTCTCTACCTCATCACTTTTCCACTCGGCTTCCACAAGACCTGTGGAGTTCTGACACATCGTTGTCGGAGAGCAGCTCCACCTCCAAGAAGTTATTGTCTAAATTAAAATCCATCTCCTGTTTGCTTTGTGCTCAGTGTGGAGGTGATTCGTCTGGGCCAGAGCAAGTTCATCAACTGGGACCTGCAGATGTACTACGCAGAGAAAGACACACCGGCTAAGGTACAGCTCAACTCAAGGTTTACTTACTAGCTTTTTAGGCAGTGATATCTTTAACCTGATAATTTTTTCACTTTTCATGAAATCAATGATTGCCCCCCCACCCCGTACAGGCTCGAACCACCACCCTGAACGAGCAGCTCGGTCAGATCGAGTACATCTTTTCCGACAAGACGGGAACTCTCACACAGAACATCATGCAGTTCAAGAAGTGCACCATCGCTGGACGCAGCTACGGTACCGATCCGCTTTATTTCACTCAAACACAAAAATGCATGTTAATGTTTGATATTTTAGTGAGAACTGAATTGTCACCCTGGCAGAATTGGCGCCTCACTCCTAGTTACTGAAACTCTAACTATGGCCTTTCTCAGGGAGCTCACCCTCTCCAGTTAGAAATAGAAAGAAACCCATTAAGAGGTAAAGTGAAATGAGAGCGACACCTGCTGCCTTTTATTAGAATGACAACTGTTTTCTTGATACCAAAGCCATCTAATACAACCAGTTTCTGCAGGAACTAATGTATTTTCTCTGCCTGAACCGATTGACAACATTGTGTTATCAGAAAGATGAAGAACGAGCCTTTTAATGATCCATTTGGTCGGAAACCAGTTCAGTGCTGCAAGAAGAAGTTGAATTTAGATAAGGGCAGAGCAGACAAATTGTTGAGTAACATATCGACAAAAGGCAACAGATTCAAAGTTTGCAAACGGGTTTGTTGTGTTGGTCTGTGACACAGGTACAGTGCTTCACAACGGAAAGGAAACACGTTAAAACAGACCAAATAAAAAAATACATATGCCGAGCGGCATGTACAGATGAGCAGGACTCGGCACTAATCTACTGTGCGCAATAATCTCCAATGCCTTTATTTGGATTGGATTTAGCATGTTGTTTTTTTCTGCTCAGATGTTAAGCAAACATCGGACTTATGTAGAAGTGCAAGTCAGTCCTCTCCAACTAATGTTAACCTGTTGTTTACCTGTGTCCATCTCAACAAATGCCACACAGGCATCCCATAATCCCCTCCATTTCTGGATTACTATTTCACTGCAATGGGACCGCACTAGGGTTCGCCCAAACAAACTTCACCACAGTTAGACGATACATTGGCTTGTGAAAGCTTCCTAGATTGGCGCCCCAGTATGAAAAACAGCATGTACGAACTTCATGGAAATCAGCAGGAGACAAAAATGGAGATGAAATAAAACCCATGACAAGAAGATATTCTTTATGTGGCACTCCTTCTTTGCCTCTGCAAAGAAGGCAAAGAAGTCATGACTCAGTCCAAGTTTTTGCTCTCCTGTCCACAGGTAACCCGACCACAGCCGAGGGAGTTGTGCTGGACCGAGGAAGGGTAATGTTTAATTAAATATAAATATTGTTGCTATAGAAGAGGATCTTACTTCCAAAATATCATGATTCACATGTAAGATGTTTATCACATGTGTCTTTGTAGGAGAAAGAAATGACGTAGACAAATTCAATTTCATTCTCAACATATGGAAAGTGATCCATACTTTAGATTGTAAATTGATTTTCAGATATTGATTGAAAATAATGGTAACATGTAACGGTACAATACTGAAACGGATGAATTACAATTTGTATTTCATAAGTCTTGATTATAAAACTACTGATATGCCTTTTTGGTGATCAATATAAGACATACAAAATGTGTAGAGTACATATTTTCTATTTATTATTTGTGAATAACTTTATTCAAGGAGGAATTGTTAAAACAATTTTAAAAATAATAATCATAAAGCGTATGACACCGATGATCACTATGTATATTAAAATGATGCACAACAAATATAAAAGTAGCTCTTCTCATGAAAAAGTTTTTGACTAAGCTAAAGAGGAAAAACTATTATTATTCACAACAATATTATATCGTTTTTGATCAGTTAACTACTTGCGTAACTCACCGGAATAAAAACGAACTATTTCTACTTTTGCTCCTCGTTAGCCGGTCGACTGGAGCTGGAACCAGCAGGCTGATAAAAAGTTCCAGTTCATGGATCATGCTCTGGTTGCCCGTGTCCGATCCGGGAAGGATAAAGATGCGAATGAGTTCTTCAAGCTGCTCTCTCTCTGCCACACCGTCATGGTGGAGCACAAAGAAGGTGATCCTAAGATCCTTAGTTTGGGGCAAAGGGAGTGGAGCTAATGAGTAAACCTGTCTGTCAACCCTAATGCACCCTGAAGAGTATGTTTCCAAGTGTGGTTGTATGAGGTGCTTCTCCATAGTGTCCTACCTCCAGTAGATGGAGGCAGGAGTAACAGCACGGGAGCAAAGCGATGTACTGCTGTAGACGTATTTAAGACACCTAAGAAAAGCCCTAACCATTTAAGTGGACGGTATGTTTTCACCCCTTTACTTTCCCTTTACACAGCCCTTTCCAACGGGGCACTGAAGCCGTTATCGATGCTATTTTCAAAGCCACAAGACTCCATTATCAAAAACAGTCATTTTACCTCACAGAACACAGGAGTTGCTGGTCTTCCGCTGCCTTGATTGGTTAGTTATTTTGTGTTAAGTGTAACTTTAGTGTAGCTTTGGTGTTTTTAAAGGATTAGTTTGGATTCCTAACAGTCGCACAATAATAAACAAACTGATCGAAGCAACGGTAGACCTGTGAGGTAAAATCATCGTTTCTATAAATGGAGTCTGGTTGCTTTGAATAGAGCATAGATGGATATAACGGCTTCGGTTCCCGTTGGAAAAGATGTCTGCCGGTAAGATAAAGCTGTGAAAATATAGAATACACCTAAACTGATATTGATTTTTGTAGGAAGCACAAATTGGTTTTGCTGCTGCCCAGGTCCACAGCAGTACCCCTGTGCTGGTACTCCAAACTGGGGGCGTGTCGACCGCCATCTACTGTAGGTTACACCCTGACCAGGGATAAATACCTCTTACAACCCCACTTTAAAACATCCAAGGTATCCCTCTGACGCTGCATTAAGCAGTATTTTAGGTATTGTCAGTGAATCGAGCACAGACGGGTGCATTACCACAAAAGAGAGAACTGCAGGCGTTGCATCGAACAGGATCTGCTCATGTATGTTCACATCTTCCCCTCAGGCGAACTGGTGTACCAGGCGGCGTCTCCCGACGAGGGCGCCCTGGTGACGGCCGCCAGGAACTTCGGCTACGTTTTCCTGTCTCGCACGCAGGACACCATCACCATCAGGGAGATGGAGCACGAGAGCACCTACGAAATGCTGGCGCTGCTCGACTTCAACTCCGACCGCAAGCGCATGTCCATCATCTGTACGAGTGCACATACACACGCACACTATTGTGCATACAAATGCATTTCTGATTATGTTTTGGTACAGTAGTTATAATAACAGAAATAATAAGTTGTGACATGCCAGTTGTCAAAAACCTGCTGAGTGCCATTTTGACTTTTAAGTAGACGTTAGTGTTTGAGGCTGGCATACAATGATACGGCGTTAGTCCGTCCGGAAGGCTAGCGTTGGAGCAGCTCCTGTTATGCTAGCTACACAGTCTTGCAGATTTAGCTATGCTCGACTTTAGATGGACGACTTTATCAACAAATATAAACTTGCACTTCGCCTCCACAGGCGTGAACTACAGTCACAAATCTGCTGATATCAGGTTTAAAGGTCCAGTATGTAGCGTCTATTGGCAGAAAATGGAATATCATATTCATAACAATGTTGTCATTACTGTATAATCACCTGAAGCTAAGAATAATTGTGTTACTGTTAGCTTAGAATGAGCCCTTAGTATCTACATAGGGAGCGAGTCCTCTTTAAGGACAAATGGACCCGTTGGGAACGTGACACACAAAGTTTAGGACTGGTCCTGATTTTGGGACTTGACTCAATAATTCGTAGCCAAGGTTAAATACTCTGTTTCTTCTCTCTCTCTCTCAGTGAAGTTTCCTGACGGTCGCATCCGTCTCTACTGTAAAGGAGCCGACACAGTCATCTACGAGCGTCTTTCCCCAAACTCCAGACACAAAGAAACCACCCAGACTGATCTGGACGTGAGTTGGCAGAACTTTCCTCTCATTTGCACTGCTGTATTTAATACACAGGGTTCGTACGGTCATGGAAAACCTGGAAAAGTCATGGGATTTTAAAATGGTTATTTCCAGGCCTGGAAAAGTCATGGAAAAAAATAAAATCCCAAAAGTTTTGGAAAAGTCATGGAAATTTGTTATATTCATATTTTCATGTTGTTCATTTGCTCCGAGTTGCCAGCCAGCGTTTCTCAGATTGGAGTGAGACGAGGAGAAAATGTGATGTGATCTTCACAATAGAACATCTTTGATGTGTCGAGTCTTGGCCAATCAGCGTTCAGATGTGTACAGCGTCTTCATTTCCCTCCGTTAAAGTTTGAGTTACGTTATGTCCGTTACCGTTCATACTTGCTGGGTTAAGTTAATGTCCACTGCATGCAGAACTTTGTCGACTGTTAACGTTCGTCATTATCACGATTTAGAAGGAAAAAACGTAACGTGATGAAACATGCAGCCCCCCCGTGTTCCGGTTCAGTTCACGCGGTCACTCGATAACGTTAAACCGGAACACCGGCGCATCTGGTTGTTTGTTTTAACTCAAAGTAGAATGAGGATGATTTCGTGGTGATAATAACGTTTAAGATAACGAAACATGAGGCCCAGATACTGATGAGATGATGAGGTCAAAGAGCTTCAGGAAGAGGAGGCTGTTTGTGTAGCGCAGCTTGACGCAGGGCTGAGATGTGGGTGGAGCTGGGCCTGGATAAAGGTGGAGGTGAGCCTGGATAAAGGTGGAGGTCTAAACAGACGTGAGTACAGTTTCCTGCTGTCAGTATTTTAAATGCATTGATAAGGCAGGGTATGCTACATGCAGCCTCTGCTCCAAGGAGATGAACTGCAGCAACAAGGGCTCACATGCCCTCTCATCACACTGTTCACACTGTTCACTCTGATGACCACAGCCAGTGTACCAACAGTCCCAACAGTCCCACGTTGCTCTCAAGAACCCTGAAGTAATGAGAGGGTTAAGGTGCCTGTACCTTCATTTCAGCGGGTTGCTAATGCGGAGGAGTGTATAGATCACAGCTATTATTTTACTCTTGATAAGCTACCTTAGCCAGAGTAGATTATCATTTTCATTTAAATAATTGAACTGGATTGAATGCATATTAATTGCAAATAGAAGATAGGCCACAATTCCAACAGCTTTGCAGTAACAGTGGAAGTTAATATGAAGACATACAGTAACAGGGTTCAATGAAAACTTTGCACTACAAAGGGAAAGCAATATGTGCACTAGCTGGATGCTGCTACCTACTAAAGCTCTTATTGATGTGTCAGTGTTATGAATGCCTGTCAACCAGAGTATATTTATAAATGTTTATTCTTTTAATCAAACTATTGTCTCATTCGTTTGTCATTTAAGGTAGACTGTATGCTTTGGAATTCTCATTGTTAGTTTAAATACTTTTCTCACTTTTTCATGTATACACCGAGATTTCACAAAATGTTTGGTCATGGAAATTTGGTGAAAAGTCATGGAAATCCATTCGTCAAAATGTGTATGAACCCTGAATACAGCTAGTCTTTGAACGGCAGACGCATGTAGAGAAACCACAAGATGCGTGTACGCAGCTGTTTTTGTTTTGAAGGAAAACACGGTCTGCTTTTTTGTGCTTCAGGTCTTTGCCAACGCGACGTTGCGGACGCTGTGCTTGTCCTACAAAGACATCACCACAGGGGAGTATGAAGCCTGGTCCCGGAAACACAAGGAGGCCCAGGTGACCATGTCCAACAGAGACGTTGCCCTCGACCGCGTATATGAGCAGATCGAGTGCAACCTGATGGTGAGTGGAAAACAACAAGAACATCTTTTTTTTTTTCTGTTGACCGTGAAGGACTCAGCAGCTCTTTGTTGTTTTTCTCTCCATGTCTCCCTTAAAGGTAGAGTGTGTAGCATCCTGAGGATCTATTTTGTTTTCATTAGTGTAGAATCACCTGAAACTAAGACTGGTTGTGTTTTCATTAGCATAGAATGCCAGTCATATCTACATAAGGAGCGGGTCCTTTCATGTTTTTACATTACCTAATGGTGAGCGACGGTAGTATTCAGTTTGTTGCAATCTGCAACCTCACTGACGGATGGCACTAAATCCTACACACTGCTCCTTTGGCTCTCTGGTTTTCCTTATCTGATTTGAAAACCTGTAAAAAGTAACCGGCCGTGTGCCTCTGTTCAGCTGATTGGGGCAACAGCCATTGAGGACAAGTTGCAGGACGGAGTACCAGAGACCATCGCTACACTGGCCAAGGCGGACATCAAGATCTGGGTCCTGACTGGAGATAAGAAAGGTACCATCAGAGTCTGTTAGTTGGCCTGTACTCACGATCATGAGGCAATAAGAACCACTGTCTCAATGGGGAAAAAACACTATTATTTGGCTGAAGTACACTTTTGGAAGTAGGAATGAACCTGCCCGTCTTTATAATATTACATAAAACTGGATTAACACCAACCTTCTAAAATTGAATAATGTTGCCGTTAAGCTGCTTCCTCCTTGATTTGGTACGTAGGAAGAGAGCACTGGAAATGCTGTTTAACAGCTACAGATCAAAGCATTTGATCATCTGATCAGAACATGCTGCTGCATCCGCTTTAATTAAAAAACAAAACAATTCTTGTACAATGTTTGCTCCCCTCACTTTGAATGTCTTTTTCCCCAGAAACGGCAGAGAACATCGGATATGCTTGTTCCCTTTTGACAGACGGCATGCAGATCCACTACGGAGAAGACGTCAAGTGAGTTGATTTAAAATCTATTATCAATGCTAACTGGTATTACTACTCTTATATGTATCATATATGTCATGAATATGTTGTTCATTCTGTACACATTACATCTATTGTACTTCTGTCCATCCTGAGAGAGGGATCAGTCCTCTGTTGAGTTTTTTCCTGTTCCGATGTGAAGGTCCAATGACAGAAGATGTCGTATGTTGTACAGATTGTAAAGCCCTCTGAGGCAAATTTGTGATAACGGGCTATACAAATACACTGAATTAAACTGAAATAGAACCGATCCCTCCAGGTTTGTTGCGTGTCTCACCTCTACATCAGGGATGGAAGTCTTTCCCTTTGAGTCGTGTAAGAGTTTGTCTGCTGTTCCTGTGTTTGCAGTGAGAAGCTGAGCATTCGTCAGGCCAACCGGAGAAACCAGCCTCAAACTATACGTCGAGGCAAAAAGAAACCCGTGGAGCCTTTCTTCCCCGCGCCGGGCAAAAATGCTCTCGTCATAACCGGAGGATGGCTGGTGAGTTCCATTTTAAGATGAACACCGTTTTCAAATGATGACCAGTTTAGAATTTAGATGTGCAGCTATGAGGGGAGGGGATATTTTCCCCGTCAGCCAACATGGTGGATTGTGCTCATCGATTCAGTTTGTTTTTTTCAGAACGAGATTCTGTACGAAAAGAAGAAGAAACGTCGCCGTCTCCGCTTGCGGCGTCTCGGAAAGCGAGCGCCTCCCACCAACCCTGGGGACGGACAGCCGATGGACGACTGGGAGAAGGAGATGAGACAGGTGCAGATACGTTGATGTATAAAAGTTTGTGCCGCCACATGACGGGTTGACTTGACAACAAACACGGTGAACTGTCTCTGCAGATCGACTTTGTGGACATGGCCTGTGAGTGCGAGGCGGTCATATGCTGCCGCGTCACACCGAAGCAGAAGGGAAACGTGGTGGGTTTGGTGAAGAAGTACAAGAAGGCCGTGACGCTGTCCATCGGAGACGGAGCCAACGACGTCAACATGATCAAGAGTAAGGACACAAACGAATTTGCGTTAAAGGACAAACCGTCTTCAGCGTGCTAAGCATTCCAGTGACTCTACTGTAATCTACCCCCCCCCCCTTCCAGCTGCAGACATAGGGGTTGGCATCAGCGGTCAGGAGGGGATGCAGGCCGTCATGTCCAGCGACTACGCCTTCGCTCAGTTCCGCTACCTGCAACGCCTGCTGCTGGTGCACGGACGCTGGTCCTACATCCGAATGTGCAAGTTCCTGCGTTACTTCTTCTTCAAGAACTTCGCCTTCACACTGGTCCACTTCTGGTACTCCTTCTTCAACGGATACTCGGCACAGGTGAGCAGCATTGGTCCCGATCAGGCGGTTTGATCTACTTTAGTCCCAGACATTTAGATTTTCCTTCATATTCATTAATTTCAATGAATTGACCATTAGATTCTATTTCTTCCGTATACCTTGACATTTTGGCCTCTAGGCCTTTTGAGATGGTCTCTGTGTCAGTTTAGGTGATCATAGAGTAAAGTCTTGTCTGACTTGGCTGTGAGACAGACCACACCTCGGACCCAGGCAGCAACCTCTGCTTCTGAAAAGTGAAGCCAATGTGGAAGTGGCTTAACCTGCGTTCTCTCTATTGGCCATCAGGGGGCGACTCCTCTGTTTTAAAAAACAAAAAGTCAGATTGAAGTCTATGAGAAAATGACTCTACTTCTCTCTTGAATTATTACCTCAGTAAACATGAGTTTATGGTCTCAATCTCTAGTTTCATGTCTTCAATACAGCATGATGTTCATTTAGTAAATGATGGTCCATTTAGAGTCAAACAGACCATAAAGCAGGGAATGCTTTTGGGCTTTGTCGTGTTCCTTCTGGTTGCAAAAAAAACAAGATGGTGACGGCCAAAAGTTGAGGCTTAAAATTTGTAGTCTACAAACCAATGGGTGACATCATGGAGACTACGTCCACTTCTTATATACAGTCTATGGCTGGACCCTCCTATCAGAACTTGCGTAACGTGCAGAGGTGAACAATATGGGGCAAGGGACCAAACACTCTGACTATTGTTCCCCTGTCTGCAGGTCACCTATGAAGACTGGTTCATCACTCTCTACAATCTGGCTTACAGCAGCTTACCTGTTCTGCTAGTTGGACTTCTTGACCAGGTAATAAACAGCCTTTGTTGTGGACACAAAGTACAGTACAGAAAAAGGTCAATGGCTGCGGGTACACTACTGGTTTTACAAATTACATTTAATTTTAATTTTAATTTTTTTGGGTAAATCTTCGTTAAAAGTATCATTTTTAATACTTTAATAAACATTGCATTTTTTTACTCTGTAAATTCACGGCCAAGTAATTAGTACAGCTGACATTTTACATGTCGATGTGAAAGTAAATGTGTTAGAGAAGACTTAGGTCAATGTGTTAGAATTAAAAACTGAACTTTGTTAACCCTCCTCCTCTCGTTGCAGGACGTTAACGACAAAATGAGCCTAAAATTCCCCAAACTCTACTTGCCCGGCCAGCAGGGGACGTTGTTCAACTACAAGAACTTCTTCATCAGCTTGTTCCACGGCATCTTCATCTCGCTCATCATCTTCTTCATCCCCTACGGGGCCTTCCTGCAGACCATGGGGCAGGACGGAGAGGCCCCCTCCGACTACCAGTCCTTGGCCGTCGTCACCGCCTCGTCACTCGTTTTTATCGTCAACCTGCAGGTGAGCCACGTTCAGTTTGAGGGCGTGTGACCGGTTCTGGCAGCCCAGATGAGAGCATGCTAATATGCTAACATTTGGATCAGCTAAAATTTATGCTCAGATTCAGTAAGATTTGATTTTTCCTTGTTCATGAATGGTATTAGCTTGAAGTAACAAATTATAAAAGAAATTATTTGAAACACTGAATCAGAAATGAATACATATGATGCTGTCATTGTGGAATATTAGGTTTGTCCAACCTTTAAAGCTACTTAAGGAGAAGTATAAGGTGGAAGTTGGATTTATTTTACGTGAATGACCTGCTGACCTTCGTCATCTCCTTCCCCTCTTGGTCGTCAGATCTCTCTGGATACCTCCTACTGGACCTTTGTGAACTGCTTCGCGGTCCTGGGCAGCATAGCCATCTACTTTGGCATCATGTTTGACATCCACAGTGCCGGGATCCACGTCATCTTCCCTGCACCGTTCACCTTCACTGGTCAGTCGCCGAGCATCCACCACAGTGCGACGCGGTTAACTCAGCTCGCCTGGCTTTATAGTCTCCACCCCGAAAACACTCAGTGTTGCTTCAGAAGTTGCTTCTGAAAGTTGTATTTATTTTTTGAAAAATCACAGGAACCCAGGATTTTCCGCCACAATTGGCCAATAGTATCGTAGCTAAGAAACTAATTACGCACGGCAAGCCCGTCAAGCTTTCATAATTGGAATATCAGGACCACTGGTTGCGTTGCTCAACATCCTCAAATCATTTTCTCTTGTAAACTTGTTTTTTACAAAATATATAGCAAACCTCCAACCTATTTCTTGCTTGTACAAGTATGTAAACTACACATCGGGGAAAAACAGGGTTATGTCAGAACATCAAAATAGTCTTTCCTTATTATATTAACAAACTCAGGCTTGCCTTCTTGAAGCTTTTTTTTGTTGTCCACTCAGTCTTTGTGCTGATGGCTCAACCTGGAGAGTTTTAGTGAATCACTCCCGCAGACGGTAAAGTGCCACATCAAACCTCGCCGTCTTCGCGATTCTCATGGTGCGTATATTTGTTGTGTGCAGGTGCAGCGTCGAACGCTCTGCGTCAGCCCTACCTGTGGTTAACCATCATCCTGACTGTGGGCATCAGCCTGCTGCCCGTCATCTGCATCCAGTTCCTCTATAAAAGCATCTGGCCCTCTGTAGGAGATAAGGTACGACCGACATGCTGCTGGGTCCGTCTTTAAAAGGAAATCGTCATAAAATGTCATTTCTCCCAATACGGCAGTGTTTCTTTAATGTTCCCTGCTCATTTCTCATCATCCCCCCCCAGATCCAGAGGAACAGGAAGAGGTACGAGATGGAGATGGAAGAGGAGGAGAGGAAGAAGCCGCCGCCCTTCGAGCGCGGCCGACGTTCCCGCCGCTCCGCCTACGCCTTCTCTCACTCCCGCGGCTACGCCGACCTCATCTCGTCCGGGCGCAGCATCCGGCGGCGCCCGACGGCCCGCGGCGGACCCCAGGACAGCATCAGGGAGGTTCCCCAGAGAGAGGCCGAGAACATCTGACGGAGCCGAGCGTGAGATGGAGCAGAACTGTATCCAGAAGGGGTTTTAAATATTTGGGAAAGTTCGAGGAGCGCTTAGTTCATCCTCATTTTTCACTGCTTAAATGGTCAACATCGGAAATGGCGCAGAAACAAACTGCAGCCTGGTTGGAGTTTAGAGCGACCTCTTTCTTGAAGAAAGTTAAATGAAGCGCTACTGAATGCGTCTCCAGTCTGACTCCACTGCCTCCAGTTCCTCCTCTTTGCACAGACTCTTTGTTAAAATTCAGATGAAAAAAAAAAAACTCACCGACGACGCGACCGCGTTACCGGGGCTTTATGTCATGCAGCGACTGTGACTGACAATGTTGTTTAACTCAGGATTTTTAAATAGAGAAGCCTTGTTTTTAGTCCGTTTGTCATTGCCGGATGTGTGGGTGGACGTGGAGCCGTAATGTTATTTTATATGATGCTTATTTTTGGCATTCATAGTTTTAGCCGGATGTCTGCGGGAGCACTTGATATGTTAGTGTTTTATTCAAATTAAATGATATATTTTTATGCCAGTCAATTTGTCCGTTATCTGCATGAAATCAGACATTTTAGTTCAGTTTCACTTCCGTCCGTTAAGATGCAAATCCAAAGGTTTTCCTTCAAATTAAAACAACGGGCTGAAGCTAAACATATCAAGGTATGCTCTTTTAATGTTTTATTATAAATAATGGTGGGATGTTACTATGCCAGGTGGTTAGATGTTCTAAAGTGTGTCTTAATTTAAAAACAACTTGTAAATAGTGATCTTCTCTCCTGTGCTGCATCACATGTCCCAAGTGTCCTTACAGATGGATGTTGTCGTCGCTACCTTAAGGAACCTCCACCTTTTGTTCCCGCCTTGAAATCTTCTTTGAAATCTTTGAAAATGCCTCTTTCAAACCGGAATCCTATTATTTGTTCTCTACCTCACTGTTTTGTTCTTTTAATATGCCCCAAGGTGCCTGAAACACACTCTGTAGGGAAACTGCAAGGAGCTCAAGTTTGTCTTCCTGTTTCCAGAATGTAAATTCAAGCGCTCCTTACTTCTAATGGGGAAAGAAACACAGCAAGGAGGTCTCGGGCTATCTTCATGTTATTATGTCTAAGTAGTTTGTTCGGTCCTTTCTGTTTTGTTGTTTTTTTTACTTCTTGGAAGTTACATCCCATGGGAAACAATAATGAGGATTTCTGTTTTTTTGTCACTGGTTGTTTATAACTAACCCAAAGGTGATGTTTGTCTTTTTCCAGTCCTGATAATCACACTTGGGATGTTCTTAAGCCAAAAGTGACACGTTCCCGGTCCGTTACTGTATCCCCCCCATGCTGGTGTTACTGTATGCAGACGTCTTTTTATTACTGAATGAATGGAGGCAGATGAGAACTGCTGGTGATTGTACCGGCAACAGTTTCGTCTCTGTCATATGACGGTATTTTATCATGTGGTTGTTAATAAAAGCCAAGGGCACATTTAGCAATCTCAAACGAGTGTTTATTTTATTGTGGTGACTCACGCCTCTCATTTTATGTATGATTGTGGTGATTTTCATTTAAGGCAACATTAAGAAGTACTGTTACCCAGTGGTAGGCTACATTTATCAGTAACTTATTTTGGTGCATATATTTGTTTTTGTTTTTTGACCAAAATAAGTTTGTTTTATGTAAATATCCAATCCAAATCTTTATGTGAATCATGTTTAGATAGTTATCTATCTGCAATAACTTGAATGATTTAAGCAAATAATCGTTAGAACGGAAATTTATTAAATAATTAAATATAACGGTTAAGAGGTTTTTTTTTTTTTTTTTTTTTTTTTTTTTTTTTTTTTTTTTATTCATTTTTGGGACAAAAGTAGTTTGCAGTTTAACTGTTATCTATATTCTATAAATTATACTTTGACCAACGGATATTTTCTAGAGAGTATGTTGTTGCTAAATTGTTAGCATAATTTGTTACATAAGGGGGAAAAACTTGACCACTGAAGTCCCAAAACACAAGAACACAACGCCCTAAATATTAGCAGAGAACACCCAAATACAATGTCCTTAATTATCACTATATATTTAGATATTAAGAGAGGTTGCATTCAGTATGGATACACTTTACTCTGTGCAGTAATACCTGTACTGGAAACTCCCAGTAATGATCCCCTAACCATGATCAACATTTTTTAAATCCTTAGAGGAAATGGTAAAGAGCCCGCCAGGTGTCACAGAAATGAGGTGCTTTGAGCTAAATGCTAATCAAAATCAAAATACTAACATGCTGATAAGTTGTTGATAAGAGCAAGCTCCAAGGAAAGGCACACATGGCCTTAGATGCGAAAAGCCATAAAACACTGCAAGCCCATTGGACAAACAGCCACAGACACCCCTGGACCCCATGTGGCTCAGCCCTGCTTTCCCTGAAACTATAAAATCTCTGTCCCACCTGAACACACCGCTCTTCCCGTCTGACTCACGTCGATGTAAGGAGGCACAGAAACATAGCTTGGCTGTTTTTAACAGAAAACTCGGCCATTCCACGCAGTTCAATTCGCAAGTAAGGAGGCAAGAACAACTTTGCCTTTAAAAGAACATAGCTTTGTTGGTTTTCAAAGAAAACCCTAGGTCAGTCTTACATTCACTGGACTAATGAAGACTGTTTTGTTTTGGGATCCTGAGGCAGAGAACAGATAACTTCTATGCCCCGTTCTCTCCCAGTTAAAGTCGACTTTGTGCCGGATATAAGGACGAGAATCCCCTTGACTTCTGAAGGGAATTATCTGCCACAGAGAGACTTTATAGATAGATAGATATATACTTTATTCATCCCGCAAGCGGAAAGTTGTTAATCGCGCACAGCTTGGAGCTGCGCAGCCTGAGTTTAACAGACAAACTCAGAAGGACCATTAAGCAATCATCTCACCGAAAGATGTTTAGCTTGGTGTCTGGGCTTAGTTAGGTCATTGTGTTTATTACCTTGTTTGTGTTTTGTTCTAAGTTACTGTATTGCTATAACTGACTTTATCATTTAAAAGACCAGAACCGCCGGTTTCTGTTTGATAAGTTAACAGTTTCCGTATTCCACAGCTGCAGTGAGGCTCTGCCTTGCTTTGAGTGAAACTACCCCTCCCTTTTCTTTTTTCGTCCTCTTTCACTAACACACACACACACACACACATTCTCTCTCACCAGATTGTATGTTGACTTTAGATAGCATGCTCGTAAATGTATAGTATTTGTTGTTAGTTTTAGATATTATTTGAACTGATCAATATCATTGGAACTTAATAAACTCTGTTATACTTTAAAGAGCAGCTTTCTGTGATCACTTTTGTGCATGTGTATTGTGATTATAGCTGGATATGTGGCCTGTTGCTCGAATTCAAACCTTCACTTTCACTCTGAATGTGAAATAGTACTTTGACTATTGACATTGTGAGTGAATACTAATTATGAGACTTAGTTTATAGTTTGGTTATTGGTCCCTGTTCTCAGGGTGGTGCCATTTTATTATTAATAATCTTACTGACATTAATAATTCTATTCATGTCAATAATTCAGTTTTCATCTTTGCTGATAACTCAAACACGCTCCTTTTCATTCCCAACATACATTTGTACGGATTGATAGGATTTAGCATTACCATATGATTAAGTGACGTTAACATCTGATAAATTGCCCCCACGTGATGTCACTGAAGTTGTGTAAACCTCTGACCTCTGTGTAGCCCAAACGCACCCAAGTTGAGTTTCATCGTGGATAATGTAAGCACTATGTTTTGTCCATTGTGAGTTATAGGACAGCAGTGATGAATCAAAAGAGTACTCTTTGTACGAGCAGAATGGAAGAATCGAAACAAAACTGCATTCAATCTGAGAGTCTCTTTTCTTTAGTTAATGGCCTGACAGTCCTATCAACATTCAGCTTATAGCCAAGTAAATGTTAAAAATGGCAAATAATTGACAGATTGTTGTGGCTGAAACCTTGTTATGTCACATGGCTTCTCCAATCAGACTACCTGTATTGCTTAAGCCTTAGAGGACTGGGTGTGGACATTATGGCGATATCCATCATTGCAATAAGTTTCAGCTGTATACTGCGAGCAAAATGATCGTTGCTCTATGTTGTAAAGGGGGCCTATGAACACGTCCAAAGTCCAAACCATTTATCTTTAGGGAACAAATCAAAGACTGATCTGATAAATCCTCTATCTACATTTTTGACAGGATATTTGGTGGTTGATGCATGTTGGTATTAACCTGACCCGCCAGATGGTTGGTTACACAGATCCACCTGAGAAGCTGTCATTGGAAAATATATTTTAAAAAGGCAGGGACTTTAAAAAAACCAACTAGTCCAGAAGTGCAGACAGGAGCACGGACTGAGAAAGGCAAACAGCTCCCGTGACAACGTGACATCATAACAGCACAACGGGACTAACGGCACAACAGGACTAACGACAACAGAACTAACGGCACTAACATGACTAACGACACAACATGACTAACGACACTAACATGACTAACACCACAACAGGACTAACGACACTAACATGACTAATGACACAACAGGACTAACGACACAA